GGTCCAATACCTAATGCTATCGGTAACGCTTGGAATTTGTCAGAGCTGTTTATGCAGGGTAACAGAATCTCCGGTTTTCTACCTCACGAGATCTCTCATGCCACCAATCTTGTGAAGCTTGATCTCAGTAACAACCAACTGTCTGGTCCAATACCTTCAGAGATCGGAAGACTTAGGAAACTGAACTTACTTGTACTGCAAGGCAACCACCTCGATTCTTCGATACCTGAATCACTTTCTAATCTCAAATCTCTCAACGTTCTTGATCTGTCCAGTAATCTCCTCACCGGAAGAATCCCTGAAGACCTCTCCGAGTTGCTCCCAACCTCAATTAATTTCTCCAGCAACCGGCTCTCTGGTCCCATACCCGTCTCATTGATAAGAGGAGGTCTCGTAGAAAGCTTTTCGGATAACCCCAACCTCTGTGTTCCGCCAACTGCTGGTTCATCGGATTTGAAGTTTCCGATGTGTCAAGAGCCTCGCGGCAAGAAGAAGCTGAGCTCCATCTGGGCAATCCTTGTCTCAGTATTCATCCTAGTCCTAGGGGGCATCATGTTTTACTTGAGACAACGGATGAGTAAAAACAGAGCAGTGATAGAGCAAGACGAGACCTTAGCGTCCTCTTTCTTCTCCTACGACGTCAAGAGTTTCCACCGCATAAGTTTCGATCAAAGGGAGATTCTTGAAGCTCTTGTGGACAAGAACATCGTAGGCCATGGTGGTTCGGGTACGGTCTATAGAGTAGAACTTAAATCCGGAGAAGTAGTTGCGGTGAAGAAACTATGGAGCCAAAGTAGCAAAGATTCAGCTTCTGAAGACAAAATGCATTTGAACAAGGAGTTGAAAACTGAAGTTGAGACCCTCGGGAGCATTCGCCATAAGAACATCGTGAAACTCTTCAGCTATTTCTCAAGTTTGGATTGTAGTCTTTTGGTGTATGAGTACATGCCTAATGGTAACTTATGGGACGCTCTTCACAAAGGCTTTGTTCATCTCGAGTGGCGTACTCGTCATCAAATCGCGGTTGGAGTCGCTCAAGGATTGGCTTACCTTCACCATGATCTCTCGCCGCCAATTATTCATCGCGATATCAAATCGACAAACATCTTGTTGGATGTAAACTATCAGCCTAAAGTTGCTGACTTTGGCATTGCAAAGGTGTTACAAGCTAGAGGGAAAGATTCAACCACAACCGTTATGGCTGGCACCTATGGTTACTTGGCACCAGGTGATGATATATAATACCTAAACCTTATATTATAAAACATTACAATGCTTATGATAAATTTTATTGAAAAATGCTATTTTAACTTCATCCCTTTTCATCAATTCTAAATATTTCATTGGATTGTGTTTTTTTTGTAAAATGTAGTCGTTTGATTTGTTATTCCTTACTAACCAATTGATGATATACATTTTGGAAATGGCAGAATATGCGTACTCATCCAAAGCAACGATCAAATGCGACGTTTACAGTTTCGGGGTTGTGTTAATGGAACTGATCACGGGGAAGAAACCGGTGGATTCATGTTTCGGGGAGAACAAAAACATAGTGAACTGGGTGTCAACAAAGATTGACACAAAAGAAGGATTGATTGAGACACTAGACAAGAGTTTATCGGAATCATCGAAAGCAGACATGATCAACGCCTTGCGTGTGGCTATCCGTTGTACTAGCAGAACTCCAACAATTCGTCCTACTATGAATGAAGTTGTCCAGCTTCTGATTGACGCAGCGCCTCAAGGAGGACCCGACATGACCTCTAAATCTACTACAAAGATTAAGGATTCAATAGTGTCAGATCATCTCACGCAGACAAGACTCTAGTCATGCTTTCTTGATGAAGAGGTGTAGCAACAGTTCGTATAACTTCTAAAGATATCATGTATTTAAATATATATCATAGAAGAAACTGCTTATATATATAGTCTTTTAATACTTCTATGTATCTTAACATCTATATTTTAAAGACTTTGGTTATTTCCGGATTTGCTTCTCCTATTTCAAATCATCATAAGCATAAGCAAGGAATTTTTGTCAAAATATAAGAAAGAATACTATGGAAGATCATCAGTCAGACTATATAATATAATAGTTGCTTCAAAATAACGCATAGAATCAGAATGTCTATGTAGACCCACTAATGAATCATAATAATTCGCAAGCTCTTTATTTCTTGGGGACTTTTAATTCGTCATTCTTCTTTATTCATCGGTGAGTGGAACTTCTTTTTCGATTGCATGGCATGGAAGTGGATTCTTGATTTTCATTTTTATAAACCTAAAAAAGGGAAAAAGTAATGAGGCTATCTAAATACATGTGTCATGTGTGTATATATAATAACTAAATAAATATATATTCATCAGTATGATCCGGATACGTGTGATTCTTCAATTAGTCGCATCGTCATATTTGTCTCTATATATCAACTAAGGGACAAAGGAGAAAGCAAGAGACTCATTTTTATTCTGTCATGCTTTTTCTTATAATATTTGAAATGGTTTGAAACTTTCTATTAAGCATTTGATAGTAAAACATATGGGTTACGTTATATACTTAGATGACATGTGGTGTTGTATATATTGCATGTGAAACTAGATAAGTGATATTAGATGTTTTATGAGGTATTTCAATTTTCAAGTGGTAGGTTTGGATCACATACCGATATTGACTAATGTGGTATCGCAAGCTTACAAGGCAAGGTGATAATTTTGGTTTGATAAATGGCTGATTAGGAAGGAAGATTTACCAATGTGATTGAGAATTGTTATACCCGTAAAATAACTTTGGACGACGATTTTTTTGGATAAAACAATAAAGTGCAAAAAAAAAAATGCTATCTTTTGGTGGAGGAAGAATACCCTTCCTTCTAGAAAATATATTACTATGAACTTAAAGAAAACTTTAGAGGAGGCTCTAAATGATGATAAAGCGACTCATGACAAGATAGCAACAAATAAATCAAAAATAAAAAGAAGTATATCAGATATCAGGATGACAAAATTTACTCGGGACAAAAGAATAGGAATTTTTATATGGTCCAGAGGAAAGATAAATATTCAAAAACAATACATGCTGTAAAAAAAAAAAAAAAAAAAAAAAAAAAAAAAAAAAAAAAAAAATACATGCTGTGAAAATCAGCTTACCATTTTTTTCAGCTCGAGCAATAAAGGGAGGAATCAGATAAAGGATTCAAGGTTATTGCTCTAAGGTGTTTTCAGGATTTATATTTGTCATGAAATCTGATGGATTTTCAAGAAATTTGGACGATAATTTTCTCATAAGAAGTGAATGCACACATCGTATGATAGCTTTCTCGTAACAACGATTTTGGTTAACAATTTCTAGAACGAAAAATTCGACGAGATACCAAATGAGAAAAAATAAATCTTATTTGAAGAATAATTTTGGCGAATGACAGAATTTTGACCGATAAATATTTACATCGTAGAGTGTAATATATTCTCAGCACTATTTTATGGTTGAGGTTAAAAAGGTATTTTTAGGTTTAATTTTGGAAACACAATTAGTTTTTATGTCGAGAGACTAATTTTGGATAACAGTATTCTAACAATCTAGGAAATGTTTTTTGGTCTCCAACGAATAAGTTCTGTAGGAAAATAAATAAGGACAGTTAACACAGAGATGAATAAGACATGAAAAATATGGTGAAGGATTTTAGAAGAGCGTGACCATTTTATATTAGTATAATTCTTCAAGTTGGAGAAGAGTGTGACCATTATTGTCAAAGATTCCTGCAAATTCACCCTTTATAGCCTATCTTAGAATCTCAATATAGCGAATATTTTATTTCATTTGATGTACAAAATATTTTTAGTGATTTTAATTGAAGTAACCACAAGTAAAATTGACAAAACCTTAGTGAGAGAAAAAAAAAAAATTGAAGTTGTTAAACGGGTTAATCATTATTGTACTTGAAGAGCTGATCATTGATTTGGATTCTTGAAAATGAATAGTGGTGAGTATATGATTCTACTAAGTTGCTTCAGGGTCCACTACAACGAATACGATTCGTCGATGCAAATCCTAAATTGAAAAGTCTTCTCATCACTTTTTAATTTCTTTATTTCTTTTGTGAAATTAGTGGACACTACATTAATGAGGATAAAAGAAGGAAAGAAATGGGTATAAAGACAAGAAAAGAACATTGATCAATTTCAATGGAATATCAGGAGATGACTTCAAAACCTGAAATAGGGATAAGCTTCATAGGAAAAAAGATAGATCCATCAAATACTACAAAGCTCAAAATGAGATTCTTGGTGGTTCTTATCCATAAATGTAAGCATTGTTTTGTAGGGTTCCATTAGAATAGGGTAAATTGATGTTTTCGATCTCTTACATACATAACATATATATATATATATATATATATCTATATATATGTATTATTTTCTAAATATTTAGGTACTTGTATTTTGTTAGATGTTGGAAACAAGATGGTTGTTCGAAACATTATTTGATTTATAGTAATTAAAAATAGTAAAATATATTTTTATCAATAATCATACATATAAAAGTAAGGTTTCACTCTCTCTTGATTGGTCCACTTGGCATTTTCAAAATTATAATATTTATTTTCAATTAAACTTAAAATCTAATACATTTAATCATATCCATATAAATCTACACTTTACTACCACTACAAGAAATATGCACATTGTTAGCACGAAAAATCTGCTATCATACATATTCTATAGCGAATTCACAAATGCTATGACATCGGCAGCTATGATAGGTGTCACACATACGATAGCGTTTTCGGACATGCTATTATAAGTCGTTTAATTATAGCAATAATAGAGTGCTCTAATATACTATATTATAACACACTTTTAATGCTATTTTATATTGTATTACAGCATTTTTATATTTTCTATATAAATTTAATTAGATTTATATATAATTATTATATTTGTATCATGTTTTGCAAAATAAATTTAATTCGATTTATAAAATAAATTTTATATTTCATAAATAATCAAACATACATAACCATATTATTACATTAGCCATTTTTACATAACAACATCATACAAGTTTTAAGCAAAAATAAAGCTAACATTATGAAGACAAACTTCAATCTCATCTTCTCTATGTCTTTCGCCTTCCCGTTACCATTCTCATGCATAATCCTTGTAAGCATGTGTTAGACAAATTAAAAAGAATTTGCAAATGCAAGAGTCTCAATCAATGAAACATAACCATGGAAACTAGATAAACACAATCTCGTCAAACACTTAACAAAACTCCAAGAATGTGTTATAGAGGGCACAAAGCAATCACAAGAAAACCACTTACTGAACTCCACTGGACTTGTGAACAACTTTACTACGTCTATTGACCAACCGCTTGCCTGTACATAAGAAATAAAAATTTTATTATAGAATTGTTTGAGCTAGCTCCACCATTACGACAAAAAAGGAACTTGGATAAGCAAATGAGATCAACGGAAAAGAAATTCCTGAACCATGATCAGATTCTTTGCGACCTTTCTGCAAAAGCTTTGTACTTAAAATATTGTGTAGTATTCAAAAATCTGTTCACCAGATCAACCATGTAGAAGCACTAACATTAGTGGTAAACTTAGAAGATCCAACAATAAGAATTATTATTCACAGTTAACAAATAGAGGAAATCTTAATAGATTAAACATGAGTGCTAATAGAGGAAACCATGTTTTACATTAACATTAGGGAAAGCTTGAGAAAAAGAGAAAAGTAACGACTAAATCACAAAAACTCACCTCTTTACAATCTCTGAAACTTTGTCACCCAATTTTCTTGGATCATCAAACCACATCTCACTGACCCAACCCAAAACTGGGGTCACCACGAAGCTGAGGCAACTACAACTCAAACTATACACAATAAAAACAATGACCCTAAAAAGAATAGAAAATAATTGTAATCGAAGAGATAGAGAAATCAAAAGAAGTACGCACGGTCAAGTTTAAGAGACTTGAAAGGAATAGAAATGTCGTGCATAACTTTGATTCTTCAAGCTTCTTGGCGTTTCCAGTCACAAACGTCACCGCCGTGGCAAATCCACCGCTAAAGAACCTAAAGCTCAAAACTTCACACAAGTTCAAGAGTTGTTATCCACACCTAAAAGCAATGTACAAAGTTTCAAAGTCTTCTTCAAAAGAATAATTCTCTAAAGAACTAAAGCTCCAAACTCAAATAAACTGAGAAGAATGGTTCATACTTGCTATCAAGGTTCCACAATCTTCATTGTTATAGATATGGCAGCTTTGAAACCAGCTCTCTGTGCTTTTCTCACTTTTTCCTCAAAACTACAGCCTCATCTTACAATCAACACAAAATGGGAAGTTTCATTTGAGCTATGTTCTTCTGGTGTATTCAAAAGATTCTGACAAGCATCAAGAGGCCCAGCCACATAAACTCTTTCAAACTCACATGTACCCTTCACTGACGGAGCTGCAAAATTAACCAATTTAGCAATAAACATGATTAAAAATCTCTTCTTTTTCTGCGTTGACCCAAATTACAGATTCAAAAAGCCTCTAATTTGAATCGACAAGATAGGAGGTAAGAGCAACACCAAGTTAACTTTATTTTATTCTAAAGACGAAGGAGATCTAAAATTTGAAGAACCTATATAATGCAAAGAAGAGAAGAGAGCATGATTGTAAACCAAAACT